AAGAATTCTTTAAAGAGGATCTTCACAACCTTGGCTAAGCATCTTTCTTAGAACATAAAAAGCACAGATCAAAGGGGGGAAATGGACAGATTGGACTTTATCAACATTGCAGTCTTCTGATATTGGAAAGACTCTGTTAAGAGTGAAAAGGCACTCAGCATTCAAAAAAGATAAACACATGCAATTTGCAGCAACATGGATGGCGCTGGAAGGGATCATGCTCAGCGAAATAAGCCAGAAAGAAAAAGAAAAATACCGGATGGTCTCACTCATAGCAGGAATCTAGAAAACTTAAATAAGGGACCAGGAAAATGAATAACTATAAGAAAGTGAAAATCAAAATCAACAAACAACTATGAACCAGAGACACTCTGTGGGGGGTGGGGTTGGGGAGGGGAGGGATTGGGGTCAAAATAAGGGGGTTGCAATTGTATGGAGAATATAAAAATAAAATTTATTAAAAAAAAAAAGAGTGAAAAGGCAAACCACACACTGGGAGAAAATAGCTGCAATGCATCTTTCTGAAAAAGAATTAGTATCTACCATACATAAAAAACCTCTATAGTTCACTAAAACAAACAACCCATTAAAAAATAGGCAAACTATTTGCATGGCTACCTCAAAAGAGATATAAGGCTGATCAATAAGTACATAAAAAGATATTCAACATCCCTAGCCATGAGAGAAAGACAATAATGAGATACTTCTACATACTTGCTCTAATAGCTCAAATTCGAAAAGACTGACAATTCTAAATGTTGATGAGAATGTGGAGCAACTGGCATTCTTACATATTGTGGTAATGGGAAACAGTTTGACAGTTTCATATAGAAATAAACATACCATACATATAGGTCAATAATTTCACCCTTAGATATTTCTCCAAGAGAAACGAACATATATGTCCAAAGACATGAATGCCCACAGCAGTTTTATTCAAAATAACCTAAGAGTGGGAACAAATGAAATGTTCGCCTATCAGTACATGAGTCAATTGTGGTGATTCCATGCAACTGCACACTACTCAAATACAAAAAGAAAAGAACTGCTGATACCTGCAACAAACTGAATTTCAAAAAAAAAAAAATGCATGAATAAAGTAAACCAGAAAAAAGAGAGTACTCTATGATTCCATTCCTATGAAATTCTTTTTCATAAGAAGAATTAAATTGAGAGAAATTGAGAGAAAGCAGAGAAGTAGTTACTGGGGCTGGTGGTGAGTGACTTGCAAAGAATCACCTAGGAGTTGCTTGATTTCTTTTTCACTCATCTTAACAGAGAAGCCACTTATATATTTGATTGAAGGAATATGGAAAGAATAGGAGACTCATGTTCTTAATCTAATACCTCACTGTATCTAATGACTGGTGTACACAATTAGCCATGTATGCATGAAGATAAATATTTTTGTACCATTGAAATTGAAGTATATCCAGAAGTGTACTCAGAGCCTTAAATATATTATTCATATATTCTCAATCCATTCATTCACACAGTTACCATATATGCAAATGATGATGGGCTCCTTTGTGAGAAAGAGACATAGTAGAAAGGAAAGTGGCTATCTAGCAAACTTTCCATATGAAAGAAAATCAGTATGTTAAAAATCATGACCAAGGTGCCTTTATAGAAAGTATCTCACTTTTTCTGGGAGTCTGGTTATAGAAAAATGATTGCATAAGGAACTCAGAGTTCTCATAAATAGCTTTCAAATGGTCCCCATTGCAATTGTTCACTTCAAGCCAGAAGGTAATGTATGGCTGTATTTTAAATGTCAGAATTGTATGATAATTCTGGAATATAGATTCAATTGCTATCCTGCAAATACCTGTAAATTTACTCAAGGACACTCATTTAACAGAGTATTTGTGGACTTAAGTTTTCTCTAACTGGATATTATTATTTGGTTTTCCACTTTCTCCCTATGTTGCAATGTTGTTGATTTATCTTTTAATTTTGTATCCTGCCAATTGACTGCATTTGTTTGCTATTTCTAATAGAATTTCTATTGGAGTTTTTGGATTTTGCATGCATATTATCACGTAATGTGCAAATAATGATAGTCTTACTTCTTTCTTGAAATGGTATGCCATTCATAGCTTTCCCTTGCTAATTGATTGATTTGAAGATGGTATTGTGTGTCTGGATTATGGTGATGGTTACCCAAGTCTATAAATGATACCTCAATAGGATTGACCAAAAATAATGTGAATTGACTTGGCTCTGTAGAAGACTCTTAAAGGCAAGAACAACAATACAAGATTCTGAAATGGGAAAAAAAGATGTCTCATGAATAGCTCAAAGGTCAAGGATTATGTAAAAGTATTTTACCAGATTAATGAATGCTCAAACTAAATATTTTATAAAATGGCAACACTGTGATTTTAGTAAAGAAAAAAACAACAAGGAAAGCAAAATTGTAAATGTGTGTGCATACATACGTGTGTATGTTTCCTGGAGTACATCAGGGTTGTAAAATAGTAATGTGGATATTAAATTAGCAAAAGGAGGTTTCAGAGATTATACTGTAAACTAAGGGAAAGAAACTTGAAAACAGTTACAACAGGTGAATAATACTTAACACTTCTTGATAAGGAATGGTGAAATATATGCACATGGTGAAAATTACACACAGAGGAAAACACATCCCAATGTCTTTGAAAGCAAAATAGCCAGGCTTGATCCCTGCAACAGTGTAATTTTTCTATATAATTCAAGAGGGCAAAACTATGATTCATGTCAGAGGCTGAAAAGTTCAAACATGGCATCTGTCATCAGTGACACTAAATAGTATATAAATTTCCTATTAGGTGAGGCAAACCAGAAATGTCTCTATGTTTGACAATTCTCTTTTCCTCTGAAGGGATTTAAGACAAGATCCTAAATAACCTTTAGCAGGAAAGATAAAATCATTGACTGGAGAAAGGGACAGAATTCTGCCACCTGTGGCCAGAAAAGACATTATGAGGATTCTTCTCTTAAAAGGAGAACATCTTGTGGATATTGGAAAAAATAAGTCATTGGCCGTTAATGACTATAATGCAATGTATGCTCAGGATGCCTTTGCAAATGTTATGCCAGGAAATGTATAGTAAAGGATCCATGTCCCATTTACGATTCCTTTTCTTCTTTTATTAATACATTCTTTGGTGTCTTGCTGCTTCATGCTTTCCATCCAGTATCATTTTCTTTTACTGCTTTGTTTGGCTCCATGTTCTCTTCCACCACTAGCAACCTGGGCTGAAAGCCAGCACATGCATGTCATCCTGTAATTTTCTCCAGGTCCATGTAATCATTTGTAATTTCATCTTTGCATAATCATACAGAGTTTTAAATCCCCATTTTATAAAACGTGATTTTATATGCTTTTTAATGGTCTCTTTTCAAAATAAATCATGGAATCTCCCCAATTTATCACTAAGTCCTGCTCTAACTTGTTCTTTTTGATGGCATCATAATGCTCCAGTGTGGATGACATGCAATTTACTTGAGCATTGATTTATTGCAGGGGATTCACTTTGTTTTCTAAACAGACACATATATACGCATCCATATAAACTGGGGTAGATGCGCCAGGGGTAGAATTAAGTCAAAGATCATATAATCATTTTAAAATGAATATGAATTTCTTTCTCAAAAGAGCATAACAGCCCACAGTTTAATAACAATGTCTGAGGGTTCGCTTATCGCTAGGGTCCACAATCAGTACGTGCTAGTGTTTACATTTTTGCCAGTCTGATAGTGGAGATATTTCACTGTTACTTTATTTGCATTTTGATGACTAATGAGCTTGAACGCTGTTGAATTCATTTTCGGCCATTTGGTGCTCCTCTTTGGTAAACTACGTATTTATTTCGTTGCCCCATTTTTCTGCTGGATTCTCTCTTTTTTAAGACCTCTTTATATATTACAGCTATAACTGCTGTTTCTGAACTCTGTGTGGCAGTCCTGTTGTGCTAGTTTATTGTCAACTTGCTTTAAATACAATTTTCCATAACATTTGCATAACAAATATGTCCACTTTTTCACTCATAGCTTTTGAGTTATAATCTTATTTAAGGTTTTCTTTATCTCCAGATTATACTAATAATAACCCCTAAATATTCTTGCAGTTTCTATCATTTTAATATTTAACAGTAAGGTCTAAATCCACTTGGATCGAGTCTTCTCTTTTGTATTTGGTACAGGATAGGAGTACATTTTTATTTTCTTCCTAAAGACTAATTCTGTCAGTACCATTTCATAAATAATCCATATTACTTCACTGAACTGGAATACTGATTTTTACATATGAACTTCTTATATATATTATATATATATAATTGTATACATTTAGAAATTCTTATCTCGCTACTTGTTTATAGACCAATGATAGTAATAGCCACTGAATGTTCACCTTCAGTTTTTGTTCCCAAGGAAATCAGAAATCCCTCTGAGGCTGCAGTTTCTTTCCCTCAAGTCGTGTCTAATTTGTCCATCACACCACACTATTAGGCTGACAGGCAAGGCGGATCTCTGCCACCTCATCGCTGCATCCCTACCATTCTTCCTTCCACCCGCCCCAATCCTTGCAGCTTTGACCCTTGAGTCACAAGCCTGTACAACCCACGACGCATCATGTGCAGAGTCACCTAGTGACCCTGGGTCAATCCCCGTCACTTCTGCAAGACTTTCTGCTTCCAGGCCATTGTATCTATTTCTAACCAATCGCGATTTTTCCTACTTGCCATCCCACATCCACTCCCTCAGATTTCTTTTGATAAACTCACCAATAATTTGCACAAAGCTAAATTCAATAGTCAATTCTCAGCCTTATCTACATTTTCCTGCAGCTGAAAAGTTAATTATTCCTTTATTGTGAAGCATTTTTTCATTCACGTGGCTTCCAGAATGTTACCTCTAAATGATAGAAAACCTAAGGACTCTATCCTTAAACTGTTCTCTGCCTAATCTCAACAACCTTGGCCATCGCATCATTCTGTAACTTTAAGTCCACTTACTGTAGGGGCAGGGATGGGCACGGTGCAGGTTTTCTGATCCAACAGACCGGGTCAAGGAGGAGTCAGAGTCCTCAGTGGTTTTTGCAGGTCTTCTATCTAGATTTACCAGGCACACGGCAGGCAGGGGTGCTAGGGGGTCGGGAGGCTGGCGGTTCTCCCAGCCCCCAGCAAGCCTTCACTCTATCTGGGCCCTCCGGCCTTCTCTCTCGGCTTCTGCTACTTCTCTCTCTGCTTCTGTTTCGGCTTCTCCTGGCGTCCCCGTGACGCCACCCTTAAAAGCCCAGTCTCAGCCCAGGTGAATCCCATCTACCTCTGCCCACACCCTACTCCAGGTGCCCGCCATCAGGCATGCATTCAGGACCGCCAGGATCCATCATCTCTCCTGGTGGTGGGAGGGCAGAAAAGCCAGACATTTTCCCTTACCCTACACTAACACACAGACAACTCCCAGATTAAATCTCCAGCGTTTCTTCACGCTAAGCTCAAGATACGTATATTCAACTCCATCCTCAACTTCTTCCTTGGATGTTTAGTAGACATCTAAAACAAAACATCTCCATGTCAGGGTTCAGAGAAGGAGAGAAAACCAGGCTAGCTATTGTAAGCAAATGGACGTCATTACAGGGGCTTGAATTCTCATAGTTACTGGGAGTTCTAGAGGGGAGGGGAGGGGAGGGGAGTAGCATGGTTCCTAATAAAATGTTCCCTGTGGCGTGTGTTCTACCACATCTGTCCATTGTGCAGGCTTCTTTGCTTCAGTAACAAGAGAAACAAACAAAACCGTAACAGGTGTGTCTGGTGTTGTATATATCTTAACTCACTGGATCCTTCTCACAACTAAACTTTACCAGGTAGCTATGATTAGCCCCATTTAACAAATGAGGAAAATGAGGTACCGCGGCATGAAGCAATGTGTCCCAAGGTTCACAGAGAAACTGCCGAGCAAAGTTACAAACGCAGGTTGTCTGGCTAAAGAAGCTGCCGTCTTCATTCCTGCGTTACACCGATCCTGCTGGGCGCCCAGGCCCCAAGTGTTAGAGCCGCGCATGAGAACTCTCAGGGCCTGTGTCACCAGCTCCTGTCACCTCTGCCTTCCAAGCATATTCAGAACCTGACCATCGATCGCTTCTCGGCCTTTTGGCTGGGAGCAAGCGCAGAATCTGACCATCGTGGTCCGAGCCTCTGCCTCTCTCAGCCGCGATGCAGCCAACGCCCCTCTCCCTGGTCTCCCTGCTCCTCCCCTGACCCCCTTCAATCTAGCCTCATCACAGCCGCCAGTGACACTGTTTCCACGTAAGTCACATCCTGTCCCTCCAGGGTTCAAAGTCCTCGCATTGCTCCCTGCCGCTCGGCTAAAGTGCAAGTCACTGTGATGTTTCACACGCCGGAGGCCATCTCCCTCCTAGTCCCTCTGCAGGTCCTATCAGTCTCTCCCTCCCTCTCTCCCCTTCAGCCATCCTGCCCCTCTTGCTTTCCTTCAGATCGCCCTAGAACAACATCACTTTGAATTCCTCAGGCCTGAGATATTCTCCGAGACAGCAGCTTCTTGAGCTCCTTCCTCAAGTCTTTGCTTCCAGTGTCACTTTCTCGGAGCAGTCTGCTAGGAATTGTGCGCCTGCGTTGCCCATGCCTTCCTCGTTTTCCCCCACAGCTTTGTCATCCTAGCATCTACCTCGATATTTACCTCAGTTTTCCTTTGCCTGCTCTCTACTCTGCTGTGTTTTGTCTCCATTGTTCACCCTGAATTGACTCACTGTAATATTTTACTACCCCAGCGGCTGGATTTTAAAATAAAAATTAGAATGACGTTAACATTACATGGCTTGTCTGTGGGCAAAAATGAACTTGCCTCTAGAATGTCACACTCTGACTTCATAACTATATCGTGCAGGTTTTCAGGTCTTACTTACATTTATATAGTGACTTATCTTTGGCTTCCCATTTTCCTAATCCTTGTTCATTTATGTGGCCATTTTTCATAGTTTATATACATTATTTGCAGCCCCTTCAGTATTTTCTCTTTTCAATGCATTCCCTCCATGTATCCATTAAATTATTCAGGAAAATGTCCTCCAGGGTACAAGTCTTACTTGAATCCAATCAATTGTTCTAAGTACGGGTAACCTTCGAAGAGGTAATGCCGAAATCATGACAAATAATGCAAATCTGCTAGATAGAGAAAAGCTGATAATCAGTACCAGGCCTGTTTAAAGGGCATTTGGAGATTCTGGTTATGTATCACCAACTGCATGGAAAAATCAGCACAAAGGAAGATTCTAAGTGTTATCCACCATCTCCTTTTGTCAAGGATGAGACTCAGGGAAAAACTAGTTGTTTCTGTGAAATCCAGGGAAAGCCATCAGTCACTTGTAATGGCAATGATTTTTATATCCCTCAAACGCCCAAGTTTCACCTATAAAACCTCTACTGTATATTTTTTCTTATCCTTTAAACTTATTAAATCAGTGAGTCCCTCATCTCAGACTACACATATTTCCAATGGGCACAGTTATTATAATATATATCAGCCTCATCTGTGCCCTCTGAGAGAGATTTCAATACAGCATAAACTGAAATGAAATGACAACTGGAGTATAAATTAAATAAAGATATGTGAAGTGTTGAGGTTCATCAAAAACTGTAGGAAGGGGTAAGAATCATTATGCCATGTGTAATGGTGAAAACTTACACAAGCGAGCATAGAAGTACATTATTTTAACCAAATGATCCCTGTGTTTTTTAAACAAGGGACTTGAACTTTGGATTTCTCCCCTTACAATATTAAATTTAATCGAATGTCATTGGGGAGAAAAAGAAATAAGAAAGAACTGATTGGATTCATTCTGAAAAAAAAGTTTGCTTCACCTTTATCCCTACCACCATACAGAATTTTCCTTCACTTTTTATAAGTTAAATAGTACAAGGAGAGTCCTGTATTTCTGAAAGTAGCAAAATCTTCACATAAATTCTGATTCACACTCCCAGTGGTCTCCTATTACAACCATAATTAACAGATATTATGCATCTGGCATGTGTAACCTGCAGATGTTAATGTTTTATACTAATGATGTCAGCTATTTTCCTGTTAATTTGTATTTTACTACTGCAGTTAAATGACCTAAATATCTGCACCACTTCCACCCAAGTTTCAGCCTGCATATTAACATGTAGCAGGCAGGAGGAGAAGGCAAATAAGTAAACAAGTTTACAACAGAGGAGGCTGGGCCCGGAGCATCACACAGATGGCTGTGTCGGCCCAGAACACTGCCACCTTCACAGGAGGATGTAGACATTATTTAGAGCCAGGCCATCTCAAAAAGACTCAATGCTGTATGTTTCTATTTTTTCCAAACATATCTTTATTTATTTTTTAAAAAGTCAGAATGTTAACAAAAAAAAAACCAACCACTTAGTATTCATGCACAGCCTCTCCTCCCTGTGCCCTGACTGCATTTTCTCAAGAACATGGACAAATGTTTTTGTTATGACAAAAAATGCTGCAACAAATTCCAGCATTTTAATAGGGGAAAACTGCCACACACCATTACAGCACAAGGATCCAGGACCATGTGCTTGCCATCTTGGGAATGAGCAGCGCTTGTGGCTGGGGAGATGCATATATGCAGAACCTGAATCTTTTTTGGTTTTGAACGAAAAACCTTGTTAATTGGTTAGACAACTGGTTATTTTGAAGCAAGTGCAATTCAAGCAGTTCCTTTCTAACTAAGTTTTGAGACATTATGAAACATTTCATAACTTTTCATTAGTGCTTGGCAGACTGTCATGCAAAGTCAACCATCGTCAAGTTCTTCCAAGGAAATACAGATGCAGAGTTTGGACATCCATAATAATGATGGACTGGCCAGGGGCCATAACTCGGGGTCACCCTTCACTGAGTAGCAAAATAATGTTTGTAGTTTGCAGTCATATTCCAAACAATAGTGCCTATGTATGTCCCCATCCAATTAATAGTGACCCTAAATTCCAGACAGTTAACAAAAACGTGTCAAGGGTATTTTAGATAAGTTCCCACCGTAAATTTAAATTTGTGGGTGGTGTTTCTTTCCCCCCATTTTCAGGGTTCCTCTTACCTTTCCATATGAAATTAATAGATGGCCGAGGGCCTCCCTGGTGGCGCAGGTGGTTGAGCGCAGCGCTGTGAAGCTGTCCGCAGCCTCTGCAGTGCTGGTTCGATCCCCGCTGGCCTCAGAGCAACCCACGTGGCTAGCAGACCTCTCCTGTCTCGCCCGCTGCTCCCCTCAGCAGTGTACTTTGTCAGTCTGCCTGTTCTGTTCCCCGCTCTGTCTCTGGAGGGTCCTCTCACCCTCCCGCAAATCTGGCCTGTACCCTGGCTCTTGTATAAATAAAATAAATCTTAAAAAAAAAAAATAGATGGCCCAGTTCAGAGAAGCATTCCATTAAGAAAATAGGCCTTTATTTCTCTGCACAAAAATAGGAGTCACCTGCCCTTGCAGAAGCCCTGAGATCAGCCGTGGTTTGCCTGGTAGAACTTGTTGATTCCTTGGTTGCAGAAAAAGCAAAGGTTTGGGGCCAGAGACACACAGAAGGCAGAGTAGCTATCAAAAAGGAGGAAAGACAAAAGAAAGCCAGTTACACACTAAGGGCTCAATCATAGTGCCTGGCACATAGTAGGCATTTAAGAAATAGTGATTAAGTAAGGAACAAAAACAGAGAGAACATGAGTGACATTTCTTACTCCTGGAGAGTAACTGTCCTCAACTTAGATTATTCTTCAGTGTACAGTAAAGGAGAAAATAACTGAAAAACGGCACTGCAAAGTGAGCGTCCAGAGCTATTTGATCAAGGCAAGGGATTCTCAAACTTTCCATCTGTTTCTTCAGATGCGATGCACTAGGTCCCCATGTCCAAGTGTGTGCAGATGGACGTGTGTTTATACCTGCCTCATAAACTATGTGATATCGAATGCAACGTTTCTTTCTCATTTCCAACGTTTCTTTCTTTCAGGGTTGATTTAGATTAAGTCTTACTCATGCCAGTTCTTCCCGGTTCATATATTTAATGGCAATACCTAGTGCTAAGAAATCCTGCTTTTTCATATCAAGAGGTTAAGATGAGGAATGTCAAACTGAAATACTTTCCACAGTTACAATGAGGTGGTAAGGTTAAAAAT